TATCAAGACTTATGGAAAGCATTAAAACAGTTTTGGGCAAATGTTGAAGGTCTTGGTATTGTATTTGGAAAAACATAAAATTCTTTAGTTTCCTATCTTAAGAAATTAGCAAAATAATAATTTAAACACAAATTAGAGTCCTAGGCAAGTCGGCATATGCCTGTAGTCTCAGCACTCTGGGAGTCTGAGGCAGGAGACAGCAAACTGAAGCCCAGCATGGGCAATTTAGCAATTTAGCAAGACCCTGTCTTAAAATAAAAAATTTAGAAAGGGAAAGGGATATAGTTTAGTGCAATGGCCCTGAGTTCAACATCCAGCAAATATCAATATCCTGTTCAGTATCCAGTAAAATAAATAAATAAGAATAGAATAGAAAATTAACAGATCGAATGCATTTTTAAAGCTTTTATTTATGCAAAGATTAGTCAAACTAATATGTTTTCATCTAGACTGGGCTACTACTGGAAAAAATTAAACATTACCCATATAATAAATGAAAAAGGGGACATCATGCTAGAACATTAAAATAATTCTAAGTTGGCCGGGGATTTAGCTCAGAGGTTCGGTGGCCTGCCTTGCAAGCACAAGGACTGGAGTTCAATCCCTGGTACCAAATAATAATAATGATAATAATAATAATAATAATAATTCAAAATATACTGGAACATGCTATGCGAATAAGTTTGATACTTAGGTGAAATGGAAAAATCCTTTGAAACACATATTACTAAAAATTCATTCAATGCGAAGTTAATAGAAACAGAAAATATGAGGATTCTTATATCTATTAAAGAAACCATATTTGAAATTCAGGCCCTTTCCATGAAGAAAACTCCAGGCCCAGATGACTTCCCTGAGGAATCTCATGAAATGTTTTTTTTTTTAATTTAAATTGAATTTATTGGTGCATTCTAGGTAGACAGTACAGTTACATTCATTACTGGGATCTTGTACCTTTACATGCCAGGTCTTGGTTCTCATTTTTTCCCCTTGTCCCCACCCTCTCTTCACCCCCTCCTCCCCTCCACACCTTCAAACACTTTAATTCCATTTTTAAATTTTCTCATATTTTTTTCCTTTTCCCTTATTCCCCTTTCCCTATCCTTCTCACTGTCCCTACACCTTTGGTCCTTTTCTTCCTATTTCATGTTGCTAATTGTCCCGTTAGGATCTTGAGTACTATTTTAGTTTTTCACACCAGAGAAACTATTCGGTATTTGGATATGTATGACTTATTTATTTCACTCAGGAGTATATCCTCAAAATGTACCCATGTACCTATAAATGAATCTACTTTCTCATCAAATGTTTAAAGAAAAAATAATATTCTAATATCTATTTTAAAAATTAGGAGGGAACACTTGCCTTTTCACTTAATGAGGGCAGCACCACCTTGATATGAACAATTCCTAGCAAACAAACATATTAGCAAATATAATCCAGGTATATATGTACAGATAATTACATGTTGAAGTGAGGTTTATCCCAAGTGAAAGATTGTTTTCTAACACTTGAAAATCAATTCATGTAACTGAACTATACTCAAGGAATAATGCAGGAGAAAAGCAGGTAGTTATCTAAAAGATGCAGAAATAAAAACTCTTGATTAATTTTAACATCCACTTTATGAAGAGAGTAAAAACTCTAAACCTTTTACTATAAAATGAAATTATATAAACTTTATAAAAAGCAGCTAAGCAAACTTATAGGAAATACTGAAATAATAATATTGAAAGAATGAACAATTTTTCCTATAATTTGAAAAAAGGCAAGTTGTCCACCTTTACTGGTTCTGTTACATGTTGAACTGAAGGACTATAAGATAAAAGCAAAAACAAAGTATATATCTTGAGTAAATATTCAATAAATGCACTAAGGACAAAATGATATACAGATTGAAAGGAGAAAATATGATTTTTACGATAGACATAATCATGTATCTTGAAAAATCTAAAGGATTTACCAAAATTATTAGAATAGTGAAATTTATCAAAGTTAACATTTATGTAAAATACCAAAAATTGAATTTATACTTTAATTAACTATAATTTACAACAGAATCAAAAAACATGAACTCTATATAGATAAATTTTACAAAATATGTGCTAGACATGTACAATAAAAGCCCAGGATTAGTGCTGAAATTAAACATGCATTAGTAAACCAGATCTTCCCTGTCTTAGTTTCTTTCTCCTTGGTAGAACACAATAGCCAACATCACAACTTAAAGAAGGAAAGGTTTATTTGGTTCACTATTTGTAAAGGTTTCAGTCCATAATCAGCTGATTCCAAGGCAGGGCAGTGTGGCAGAGGGGACTGGCAAGGGAAGCTCACTCGTGGCAAGGCAGACCGTAGCACAGATCCAAGCAGGCAGATGTTTATTACCCTGATTACACCAAATGATTTCCTGTCATTTACTAACAGATTAGTTCTGACCAAACTGGAACAGAAAGTTACTTTCAGATGCACACACATACATACGGAATCCAGGAGATGGTGCAAAACTTTTAACTTCTATGAAAACACCTGTTTGTTCTAGTTTCTCTCTCTTAACTTCTCCCTGTGGTTTCCCCTACCCTCCATCTTGCTAGGAATTTTTGCATACCCTGCATTGCCACTGTTCTAGCTTCATTATGAAGAGTGATATTAGATCCTTCAGAAAATTGTCCAAGCTGGATAAGATATTTAGGTCTTTCTTCATAATGAAGCATAACAATAATTTCTTCATAGTAAAACGAGACAAACCAACTTCATTGTTAATATTTACTTTGTTTTATAGCGTATTTTCAATGTACTGTTATTCTAACAATATTTTCGCTTCTCTTCATCATTATCAATGATCTTCTCATGAAGAGAGTACAGCGTTCAGAAAGAAGGAAGCATGTACTGGAAAATGGAGTAAAATCCTTTTCTAACTATTTCATCTGCCTGTTTACTCCTTCCCTCCATGTGTCCCTAACTGCAAATGTATGCACATAAGAGATTGACAACTCTAATCCTGAAGTTAGAAATGAGAGAATAACAGTAAGGTGCAGCCTTCACCAGAAAGAGGAACATTCGTTTTCCAAACACAGAATGATGGAGTAGAAATAAAGATAAAATGCTAGAATGCATTGGTGTACAGACACATCACAGTCAAGTAGCAATGATTAGGTTCTCAGGCTCTGAAATCAAAACACCTAGATTTTAATGTCAATCCTTAGGTTCATTTTGTGCAAGATCTGAGCTCTGTGTTTCTCATCTGTAACATAATGATGATAATATTTTTATAGGTTGTAGCGGACATTAAATGAATCAGTGTAAACAACCTAGCACATGCGTGATGCACAGTACATGCTCAGCTAATGCTAGGTAGCTATATTACATTGAGCTGTGACAGAGGCAGGGTGAAAGATTTCATATCTCATGGCCTTAATCTCAAAAGTAAGATGTGTCCTTGTGGAAGCAACTGGAAAAGAGCTTCACCTGAAGAGTGGGCAAAGCTGGTCTTCAACTCTGGATGTACCACAAAGATTTTCTGAGAACTTTTTTAAAAAATGGTATTTAGGATCCAATCCCAAACAATTAAATCAAAATTGCTAGGAATAGGACTTGAACATGAACTTTTTTAAAAGCTTCTGAGTAAATCTTCATGGGCAGCCACAGTTGAGAACCACAAAGTAATATAAAAATAATAAATGGCAAATTATGTGGACGGAAGGAAGAAATATATAGTATCCCAGTCTGATTTTCTTTGATTTCCCTCCTACTCCAGCAACTTATGAAAGAAAAGTCAGTATAGTAGGAGTAAAGTAATAAAGCAAGGATCCATTCTCAAGCGGTAGTTAATGTGTTGCGGAGATTTGGGAAAATACAGAATTTAATTTCATTTTGGGTAAAAAGCCAGGCCACGGATAAGTTGATAAATTCTGTAAACAATTACAATCAAAGGAAGTAGAGTGGGATATGATAAAGACATAAATTGAGAATTTTGGATGTGGGGATTGGGTGCAATTAGAAAATAGTAATGCATTTAGAAACCTGAGTGCTTAAGATTTGGGCTCTAATGGTATTTCAATGAAAACTAGCTCTAAGATTGAATCCTCAAAAGTGGGATTGGGACAAAATAAAGATAAAGGTTATTAGAGGCAGTAGATAAAATGTAAAGACCAAAGGGTGATATTTTATGATGGAGAGAAGAGAAAAAGAGTTGAAATCATTAATCCTAGAAGGCAAACCTGATACCTACTATAAAATTGTATGAGTCAGAACCTTTGAATAAAAAGTCTCCAATACCCCATCTTCGCGTTAAATAATGAAAGTGAAAATAAAATGAGAACCACGACCTGTCATGTAAAGGTACAAGATCCCAATGATGAATGTAACTGTAGTATACCTAAAATGTACCAATAAACTCAATGAGAGAAAATAAGTTGCAAATTGTTAATCATTGTCCAGTAATAAGCAATCCGTACATTGTTCATTTACTATAATAAACTTTGGCCACATCTGAACAAAAATTCAATTTTTAAAGCTTCACGTGCTTAGTGTGTACATTTGAAAAATGCTGGTTATTTTACCTAATGTGTCACCACAGACACTTTTAAAAATTTAGAATTTAAACACAGTATTTCTCTTCTCATATAAAAATTGAAATTAAAGTTTCTAAAATCAAAAGGGATACGAAGTGAACAATCCTGAATGATGCCCAAAGCTAGTCGGTAAACATTTTCTTCCTCACTTTCCTTTTCCCTCTTTCCTTTTGACAAAAGAAGAATTAAAAAAAAAAAAAAAAAAAAAAAAAAAAAGGAAAACAAAACCCACTCTTCTTCCTACCAGCAGAGAGCGATGGTGCCACATACAATACAATCACCAAAGCATTCGGCACATTCTAGTTTGTAACTGCCATAAACCAAACACACATGAAGATTGGCCTTACTGGGCACCCGTAGTTGACTTTACGTCGCTGAGCAACAACAAAGGGTGGATTTTGCCCTGAGCGCTCCCGCGCCAGACAGCCCAGCCGGAAGCGGAAGTATCCGTCTGTGGCTAGAGAGAAGGAAGTGGTGACTCTAGAGTGGAGATGGCCGCGCTGGCTCAGCTGCCCCCGTTGCCCCCACAGTTTAAGAGCATACAACATCATCTGAGGACGGCTCAGGAGCATGACAAACGGGACCCTGTGGTGGCCTATTACTGTGAGTCTTTACGAGTCGCCGTGCCCTTCCTTCCCCATTTGTACTCCCGGGTCCTCACACCACCCTTGGTTCCAGGGGCTTACCCCCCGCCCCCCGCTATTGCTCTGAGCTTTGACCTCTGGTTCCTGGGATCGCCTGGGTCCCTCAGGGATCCAGGCTTCACCAGACCCCAGGAAGGCAAAAACCCCGAAGCACCATATGATGCACCTTCTCTCCTGTCTTATATTTAAATGCCCGGAGCTCACTGAACGGGCTTATGAACTATGGAACGCTCTCCCCCAAGGATTCCTTCTGTATACGTGCATGAGAACCTTCTGTCTCCAGAAATAACTTGGATAGTCGAGTACTGTACGTGACGTAGGGTTAAAACGAAAACGAATGCATCAAAGATAGTAGCAACGTAGATGAAAGGAAAATAGGCTGCTTGAAAACCTTATAATAAGTGCAAGTTAATTAAAGCAGCACCCAAGACCATTCCAAAAGCCATCAATAGTTATAGTTTCTGCTACTAAGCAGTTGAATTTAAGCGTTCCTGCTTTTCCATCCTAACTGCTCTTTCTCACCAATAAGAATTTTTCGTCTTTTAATAGTGTCTGCTGTTGAGAAGTTTGACAGCAGTATTTCCACCGTGATTGTTGGACAATCCAGAGCAGACTTTGCAAAATTTTAGTAGCTTAAGGGAGCGGTGCGGGGGGTTTCTGTGTAAACTTTATTTGTATACGTTATATACTCAATCTTTGCTGTAAATGAAACAGTTGACTGAACTGTCAATCTTTTGAGATCATTTTTAGAATGCAGACGTCCAGTGTAATAATGTCTTCTCTCGGGCACATAATAAGGTTAGCTAACATGTCATTGTCATCCCTGCCATACTTGTCATATCCTCCCATTTCTTGGGTGTGCAAGAATTTCTGCCTTTTCCCACATTTGCCAGTCTCCTCATGACTCAGGATCTAATTCATTTGTCACCTTTTCTGTATACTCTGTGCTTTACCTAAAAGCATTATATCCACTTGTTCAAATTCCTCAAGCAGCAGCCATTCATTCTGCATGTATTTACTGAGATTTTACCTTGTACCAAATATTACTGTAGCTATAGTTCCTATATTCATAGAGTTTAGATACAATGGAAGTAGATAGATTAAGCAAAGAATGTGCATATGTGTATTATATAGAATATTAGAAAATAATGAAAAATACGGTAGGAAAAGGGCAGAGGCGAATCAGGAGGATGATAGGGAATGAGAATTTCCGTTATAAAGTGGTTAGAAAACATTTTTCTGAGTTGACGCTTGAGCAAAGAAAGAAATGAATGGGATGTCTTTGTGTACATTCAGGAAAGTGTATTTTTTATGGAGAGAATAAAAGTACAAAAGTCCTGAGATCTGCTTGGAAGAGGAACAAGAACACAATTGTGAGTGGAATAGGTAAAGCCAGTGATAAAGTGATATGATAAGAACAAAGAGTAACCTCATAACACATTGAGCCCCAAGTTCCCCTCTAAAACTAACCCCCGGCCTGTGTTTCTTACTTTTATCACTGTCCTGGGACCCTTTGTTTCCAGTGTCGTCATTCTCTCTTGCTGTTTCTTTTCAACCCTGTCCCAGTTTACTGTACTTTTAAAAAATCTTTTAAAAGTTTGAAAAAGAAAAAGCAGAAGCTCTCTCTGTGACATTTCCTCTTAAATTGCAACCCTGTTTGCCCAGCCTCATAGGTAAGCTTGAATTTGTCATCTAGTGTTCTTTATATCTTTACCTTGTAGAGCTTTGAGTCTATTACAATCTGAGGTTTATGCCTTTATTCACAGAAATTGGCCTACTAAGGATATGAACAAACATTTTTACTGCAAAGTCTAGTTGGCACTTAATAAAATTTTTGTTATGAAACATATGTATATAAGAACATGCATGCATAATGTGCATGCAGAATTGAAGACATAAAATGAACACTAATGTTCTCACCACATTTGATGTTACTAGTCTCTTAATTTTTGTCAATCTGGTGAATGTAAAATGGTCTCATTGGACTGATACTTGGAATTCTCTGAGTCTGAATGAGGTTCAGCATCTTTTCATATGTTAACCATGTGTGAGTCTCTTTTGAAATGCCTTTTTATTTTGTCCACTTTTCTATTGTACTGTTTGTCTCTTCTTAATAATACTGATAACTAATCCTTTGTTTTATGCTTTGCAGTTGTCTTTATCCAGTTCAAGTTTTGATTTTAATTCTTCGAAGTCCTCATTCAGAAATTTTAAATTTTATTTAAACTGTAGCCAGTTTATGGTTTACATTCTAATTTTCTAGGTCTTGATTTCTTTTTGTACTTGTTTGGGACTTTGATTTCCTGACTCTGTAGATGGATATCCTTTATCAGTTCTGAAAGATTACTATTATCTGTTGAAATAATGCATCTTCTTTGTTATTTCTGTTCTTTTGCGCAATTAACTTATTTCCTTTAACTTCTTTGACTCTTAATTCTCTTATATTTTTCAACTCTGTCTCACTGCTGGATTCTGTATAATTTCCTGAGACCTGGCCTCACCTCTGTATGTCCTATCGCTTAACTCATTTATTGAGTTTCTGATTTTATTTTTCATTTCAGAGTGTTCCATTTTTGTTTCCAAATTGACCTAGCCATTTCTGAAAGTTTCTTGTTACTGCTAGTATTTTTTAAGCACTTATTTCTTTAAACACTGAATGCTTTTATTTGTATTTGCTATCTGATGATTCCTGTAGCTGCTGAAATTGTGGATCAGCACTGCTTATGGTGATTTCTTTTCTTACCAATTGTACACTAGGCATACTATACCAGCTCTTTTCACACTGGAGTTTCTAAGGTGTTCTTTTAATTCTAAGAAAAAAATGAGTTTCTCAATTCACAACTTCCATGTTTTCCTTCTAAAATTGTTCTTCCTGTCCAAGGGCCCATTCTCAGGGTAGCAAAGCAATACACCTCTTATTCTGAGCACATCCTCTTCACAGTTGTCCTGCTTTAGCAAGGGAAATCATGTTTACATGTCTTTTTATGCTTGTTTGTTTTGATTTTTTTGAAATAGAATCTCATGTTCTGGAATGACCTCAAACTATCAACTCCAAGGTGACCTTGAACCCAGATCTTTCTGCCTCATCCTACAATGCTGGGATAACAGGCATGAGCCAACATGCTAAGCTCTCTCAAGCTTCTTGAGTATTTTAATTGTGTATTGGTCTGAGGGAGAAAGGAGGAAAATCCACTCGGGTGTTCAGAAAAATAAGTCAATTCAAATTATTGATGTTAGTGAAGCCACCATTAAAATTAAGGTATTAGACAGAACTTTCTATCTTCACCTATTTTATGTGGAAGAAAATCAATTAGAGCAAATAATACATCTGTTTTGAATATACTGGGCATGGAAGATTCCAAAAGTATTTTCTAGTTTGAGGAAATAGGGTGAATATTGTATAAAGGTGATGCAGGGAATCATCTGGAGTTTGTCTCTTGGGGAACAGTTGGTCAAGAATGGATTTCAGGAGAGGGAGAATCTCATTTTGGATTTTGTTAAGTGTGCAAGGAGGAGTAGCTTGGGGCCAGCGTTGTATGCAAGAGTGTGTGGGAAGGGATTAGCTATGGGAATATGGGCATGAATGGGCCCTAATAGAAAATCTCTGTCTTTCGGTCTTTTGCATTTAGACATATGTATGTTAAGGGTAATGCTTCAGGATACAACTACCTATGCTGTAGTGTTCTCATTTCCCACATTGAAAAAATTCGTATTATATAACTTTATTATTGGTGTTAGTAAAGAATACTGTTGCTGAGTTGAGAACAGAATAAAAAAGAGCCAAAGAGAGGCACTTAGAGCAGAAGTTGTTTCATCTGAGCAACAAGCTCCTCTAAACCTCTGTGGCTTATTTCTATTTTAGGATTAGAATTCCGAAGTGAGAACACTGACATTCCAGTAGTCATATTTTCCTGAAAAATTGGCTTGGCATTAACAACTGGCTTTGCCATTTATCTAACATGGCAGACATTTTTCCTTAAGCTAAGTGAACCAAATCTTCACCTCTAAGGTTTTTTTGCTTTTCTTTTTTCTTTTTCTTTTCTTTTTTTTTTTTTTTTCTAGAAATACATTTAAAACAGGTGAAGGATAAACACCTTTAAACTTTTTTTTTTTGGTACTGTGAATCAAACTGAGGACCTTGCACTTGCAAAGCAGGCAGTGGAACCAATGAGCTAAATCCCCCGCCTTAAACTATTTTTAAAGTGTCATACAGGCTTTTCTTAAAGTGTCATAGGGCTGGGGATTTAGCTCAGCAGTTTGGTGGCCTGCCTTGCAAGCTCATAGACCCGAGTTCAATCCCTGGTACCCAAAAAATAAATAAATAAATAAAATAAAATAAAGTGTCATAAAGGCTTTTTTTTTTTTTTTTTTTTAAATACCAGGGATCGAACTTGGGCCCTTGTGATTGCAGGGCAAACGGCGAAACCACTGAGCTAAATCCCTGGCCTGGCAAGGCATCTTAAAATTAACAGTATTTCATATTTCATTTTTCCCAGTTGTTACAATGACCTACAGTACACAAGAAGGTTCTGACTGAAAGCAAATGATGAATCTTTATAGAATCTTTTTGGTATACATCACATGAATTAAGAAAATGAGTAACTAGAATGATGGTATAGCAAATCTTTTTCTAGATTTTAAAGTTTAAAGTGAATCTAATTGAATTATCTTCCAAGGTATTATTAAAATATTACTTGGTGATAAATGATTATTTGCATATAACCCAAAAGGAATTTAAAGAATTTTCTGTGACACAACTCCTCATCACTTCTTTGTGTAAATTAAATTTATCTATTCATAAAAAAAGTAGAACTAGAACCCTGATACTCTGCCCTCCCTTATTATAATAAGACATATTCATAGATATTTTTATTTAATTTATTATAAGGTACATTTTAATACATTTTATATTTAATGATTATTAAAAGATATTTGTGTTGTTTTGATCAGTTATGTATT